TGTGTGTGTGGCCAGCTCAGCCCACCAGGGGGCGGGGCTGGCTGGCATGTGGTGCTGGGGGATGGAACCGCGGTCCCTGTGCTTTGCCAAGCTTCTTCCAAGTAGGTGCTTTAGACCACTGAGCCATCTCACCAGCCCCAAGCAATCTAATTTCAAACAGTATCCATTTGTTGAAGATTCATATGCATCTTCAAAACATAAGGATTGCTCATTTCTTTCCTATGTAATAACATGATAAAGGGTAACTGCAAAGCCAATTCTATTTATCTGTATTTAGATTTACTGACTCCGGAATCTGAAAGCTGAATTCTGAAGAGGCACATGCTTTATGCTTTTATCATTGGTGGCTTCCAACTATATAATACACCACAGACTCAAGCAAGGCAAACTTTATATACCTCAACTTGTTTTCCCAAGTATCTGATATCACATATGATCTAACAACAGCAAAAATTAAAAATCACTAACCTTCCCCTTTTAAGTATGAAGTCCAAGGGGAAAAACAGAGTAAAAGCAAATGTTTAATCTATATACGTGTTTACATCTTTAGAGTATTAATGAAATGTGTTAGAATTGAACACTGTGGGAATGACTTTAACTTTCATGATTTTGATATATTTTGATGTTTTCTAAGTAAATTGTCATGTGACATGACTAAATACATGAGTTCTACACACCTATAGAATTTGCTACAAAATTCAAGGATGGATTCAAAGTACCCAGTTTTAAATAGTACTTCACTTCTCCAGAATTCAGTACAGATCCAAGGAAAATAAAGCTCTGCCTACATTAACATATTCTTCCATGTTACATAAATTTATGTATTTTTATTTCAAAATGTCCTCCTAAGATTAGCTTTTTTCAAGTGAATTTTGAGCCTTTTAAACCAAGGCCATAATATTGTACCGGTAACCATTTCATTTTTGTCGATTCTTCTCTAGGAAGCCAGTAAGGGAGCTGCGAAATACATATATGCAAATTCTCAACTACAGCGATGTCAATTAAAATGAGAAAAATTTAGGTAGATTCATACATATTTTAGGTTTAAATTAACTTACCAATGTAGTTTTATTGGAGGCCATTTTTTTCTGCAGACTTGAAGAGCTATTAGAAAAATGTATGACAGTTAAATTGTTTCATGACCCACAAAAGGTAGGTAAACATAAGTTTTGTTTGGACTTCCTCCCCAGGTAATGCACATTTTAATCAGATACAAATCCAAAGCAGCAGATTTATGCTCCAGGCATTAGGTTTAGACACCTAAGCCTATCAGTGTTCCAAACAAATTTGCCTACAAAAACTTAGCTGGGGGTATGGGGGACCTAACAGCTTTAAATGGCGAAAATATACAATTTTTTTTCTAATCTCTTATTTATAATACACCTTAAAAACCCTTTTGATTCAAAACCAGACACAATTACTAATGGTAAGCTATTTTTTCTTTTTCTTTTTTTTTTTTTGAGCCAGGATCTCGCTATGCATTTCAAGGACAGCCTTGAGCTCACTTTTGGCTAGTCTTGAAACGATCCTCCTGCCTCAGCATCCCGAGTGCTGGGATTACAGGCACGCGCCACCATGTCCGGCAAACAACTATTTTTCTGTAGCCCTTTGAATACTCCAGAGTCTGCTATCTAATTCACTTGATTTCTTATCAACTGCAGTACCCTCTCTCAGGTCAGTGGTTTAATAAGAGGAAAAACACTGAGCAGCTTCAGCGGCATTCCCCGACACTTTCGAGAGCTCACCTCCGCCTCCCCGCGCCTCTGGCCCCAGGCCCCTCCCGGTTTCTTTCCGGCCTCCGACTCTCAGGAGCGGCGCGACCACCCCCACCCTCCCTCCTCCTCCTCCTCCTCCTCTCCCCACCCCCACCCCGGGGCGCAGGCCTCGTGGTCAGCGCAGTCGCGGGGAGACAAAGGCCGCGGCGCGGGGGCTCAAGGGCACTGCGCCACGGGCCGCGCTCCCGCGAGCGGCCACCGCGTGTAACGGGACGCCCGCCGCAGTCTCGGGCAGCGGCCGCGCGCTCCAGGCCTCGCGGCTGCAGGAAAACACCTCGACCTCCCTGAGGCCCTGCTCGCAGGCTGCGCAGAGTGGCGCGCCCCCAACGGGGCCGGGAAGAGGGGGCGGGCGCTTTGTCTAGAAATAAGGCCGCTGTCACTGCGGCCCTGCTCCGGAGACCTCGGCTACGGCTTCGTCCCCACCGAACCGTACGCGCGGCGCCAGGCCCGCCACGGGCCTCCGCTCGCTCCTCAGCTGCTTCTCGCAGCCCCGGTCGCCCAGTGCGCCGGGAAGCGGCCAAGAGGCGACTGGGGGCGCCGGGCGCACGCAGTTCCCTAACCACCACCACCCAGGGCGGGGAAAGAAAAAAAGCCACCGACTTCACCGCCTTGGACGCTCGGTCGCGGGTCCGCAGTCTCGGCCTGCGCGCCTGCAGCTCCACTCGCACCCGAGCGCAGGGGGCCGAGGCGCAGCGCGGGCGGGGGCGGGGGGAGGAC